TTTAACCCAACTGCGGTGAAAAAACAACAATGTAACAACAAGCTTAACAAGGGGCCCAACAAAACCAAAACAAATCCTAACAACAATCCATCAAAAAAAACTAATAAACGGGACCGGTAGCTCTACCGAAAAACTTGGAACCTTTATTTAAATTTAACGGTAAAAACAAGCCGGATTTCCGCGAAGTCCTAACTTGAATGAACAAAATTTCAACTTGCCGCAATTGGTGGAACAACGGTAAAAAAAATGGCCGCCCAACGGTGGCGTGGTCCTCCAAAAAAAAAAGGTGCAATCCAAATCGTGGAATAAAAAGCAATTTGGGAACGGTTAACCAAGAAAGGGTTAACTAACAAATAATGGAAAAATAACCGAACAATAAAAGCCCGGAAGCTCGGCAAAAGGAAGGTTTACGGCAAAGTGGCAACCCCTTTTAAAAACAACAGCCGCGTTAAAAAAGGATGCCCGCTGGCACCTTTCCTCCTCAAACTCGCTTTTTAACAAAGTAAGGAAATCCCCTTTAAAGGAAAACAACTAAATGGTGGGGAACCAACCCCAAGAAAACCAATTCTTGAATCAAAAGAAGCCGAAGAATATGCCCTCCACCGTGAAAAGCCAAAAACCGTCCAAACCGCCACGGAAAAGTTAACCATAAGCGGCCGTCAATTCGGGCCTTGGTTCCCAACCTCCAAATGCAAAGGTGTTCCCCAAAAATAAGTTGGAACGCCTCCTACGCTGAACCTTGGTGGGGAACTGCCAAAAGTCGTTCAAAAATTCAACCTACTGGGAAAGTTGAACAACGCCCGTGGGAATGAAAAAGAAATCAACAAACGGAAAAGCAAAAGTCCGGGCCCCTTTGCTAAACTTCGCCAACTAAGGCCCCGGCGCCACAACAACCCTTCCCTGAAAGAAAAAATGGAAAATGCCACCGTACCGTCGAACCTAACGGAACGTTGTGAAACCCGGCCCCTTAAAGCAGCGGACCTGAAAAAGCTAATTAACGTCCAACAACGGTGCCTGCCGAAATTAACTCAAAACCGGTGGGAACAACGGCGTAACAACGAAGCTGGTCCAACCCTTGTTTAAGGCAAAAGAAAAGGAAATGAAACGCTCAACACCGGTATTTCACGGAACAAGCCCCGAAGGCCCCGCCAATTGGTAAGCAAGCCAGCCCAACGAATTCCGCCAACGGGTGTGGTTGCCCCGCCGGGGTTGGGAAGGAAAAAGAAGAAGGAGTAACAAGCCAAGGACTGGGCCAAAAGAATGAAAAACCTTAACTCCGAAGCTGCCTCCGTTGGAACCGCTCCGCCCCCTGGTTGGGGTCCGAAAGGACGATGAACACGTTTGGTTGGACACACTTGCTGATACGGCTAGGAGCCGACCTCAGTGGCGTTCGTGCTGTGAGTTTCTTTGTCCCACCCCATTCCTCTTAGCCTCCCCTCCCAACCACGACCTCATTAACTAACCTTAAAAAAATTTGCAAAAAAAATTTTTTTGGGTGCAAAACAACCGGCCGGTAAGCTTACGGAACCAAGCCCAACCGGTACCGGTAACCCAACCAAGTTTCCACAAGTGGTTTTCTTTTTTTCCTTTTTTCCGTGTAATGCCGCAAAAGAACCGAAGTTGTTCCCCACCTCTAGCTAATGTGTATGATGATGATGATGATGAGTATTTGGTGTTTGTATCATCATTATCATGCCTTTGTAGGCGTGTCTCGCATTGTGGAGAATAAAAGACATAGTTAGGTTAAACCATCTGGAGGTTAAAGCGTCTAACTATGGCATGTGCGTAACTGCGTATGGAGTAATAGGGTGAGGCTGATTCCAAATGTCCCACAGTGCATTGACGAGACCGTTGAATGACAACCGGAGGACAATTTGGTGCAGATACAGTAGCGGCTGAAACAGCACAGTGAATGCAGTCGAATCGCCATCCCATTGTAGTTCACTGCACTGGGTAGTCCTTGCTGACCGTTCTATGCCATAAGCTTGATCTCATTGGTATGTACTCGCCGCTGTCCCGGCCAATCCACACCCACCGCAACAGACGATGTGTTGAGCGTTATTCATTTTAGGCCACATCAGTCGTGCGTTGTACGTTCGGTTCGTGGAATTGTGATGAGCAGGGAGGGACCTGATAGACTTTTCCGACACCACCCATGTGTCTGTTCTATTCCCGAGCTGACTAGCAGTTCTCGCACCCCGTGCCGTTGGCTCTGGCCCGTTGACGGACGCGCGCAGTTCGGTCACGGTTGTCTGGACCAATCCGCTGCTCCTCTGGATAGAAGCACACTACGGTTCGTTCCCTCCGGCTCATGCAATCTTCCTACAGCTGCCATACAAGGGCAGCTATCTTTCGTTTGCACTCAGACGCACCTAGCTAGCAGCACAGATGCAAATCCAGTTCACTAGCATACTGATGGTGAGACTAAACTCAAGGGATAAGAGGCCTGTCCACACCAACTCAATGTGTATCTACTCGTTTTCATGCTCCTGTGGAGCGGAATACCTTGGTCGTGCGACACGGCGTCTATCTGAGAGAATGAAAGAACGCCACCCGGTCGCGCTTAGAACTGGAAGTGGAAATACAGCGAACTCTTCAATAGCCGCGCACCTAGCCGATACAGGGCACGCCACAAAGTTCACTGATTCGTTCAAAATTATCTATCAGGCCCCAAAGAACCGCTCGAACTACGTCCGCAAGCGACTACTAGAAGCCGCTGAAGCAATTGCGATCCGGCTGTATGAACCGGAGCTGTGTTCAGAAGAAGCTAACTAAAGGCTTGGGACTGCCTTGGCTCAAACGGCCGGTGACCGCTGACCCACGAGGTCACACGCGGTCGATTGTCGTGGCTTAACAGACAGCGCTGTCAGCATCCAATTAACTCGCCCCAGTAGTCACGACTTGTAATGTCTGCTGCACATTTTGATTTGCATATAGTTGTATAAGCCTGAAGATGAATTATCGCTTACCCTGACTTCTGCTCATACTATGGGATTTTTTAAAACCATACAATTATGTCCAGTTCGCTGGGCTGCGCTTGATGGCCCACCGGTTCCACTTTAATCCCGCTGGCCCGATCTCCCATAACATAGTTGGCGGCATCCGGTTTCGGATTTGCCTGTCACTGTGGCCAGCCACAGGACGCCTGCGCCTACAGAGGGACCATGGGTGGCTTGCGCTGCACCACCCACAGCTCCATCCACACACTCCATATCCAGTGTAAACCCGAAGGAATAAGACCGGGACGCATGTGGATGGGAGCCACGTTTCATCAACGGAGCCGGCCCACCCTCCTTCACAGGCAAACACAAGCACGCTGTATTTGGGGAATCAACCGCACGCAAGGCGGTGGCTGGACAGTAGTCCGCTCCACACTGAGGGTATGGAACCACTCTTCGAGCCTAACACGGTCACAAGGACCGTGCAGCCCATCCCCTCCAGCAATGACCAACTGTCTCCTGGAGCCAGTATGGACGAGATAGTAGGTAATAGACAGGTAGGCACCTTGTCAACATGCACATCAAGCACAGCCACACCGGGGATATCAAGCAACAGCCAATCACTTGAAAGATAATAAGGAAAATAACTCGATTAATGCATAAAGAAACGATGAGCTAAACCTTAAGTTAATGAGCATATGAAATAAGTTGTTTACAAACGAATCCTATATAAGTTCATGAGGTCAGAGAGTATACTGACGGAATGCCACGAGCACAAAAATGTTATGGAAATCGAATACAATTGGCTTAAGCGAGGTGTGCAAGTTAATGGAATAGAGTACAGGTAGACATTTATATGGGAAAGAAAAGCATTAGGGCAAACTTGAAAACCCACCACCTGAAATAAATAGACTTAGCGTGCAAGCACGCGGTTAGTAAATCGAATGCAGCGTACCTACAAACGCTGCGCCGGTTCTGCGTACGTTCACTGCAGAACCCGTCATCCAAAAGGACTGTGCATTCTCCGGTGTGGGAAAACTGCATGCACCAAAATAGTAGGCCGATAACAAGGGTACAACGATGACCAAACGGAAGTTGACGGTACGAATGGAGAAGGTGGTTCAGTGGTGCAATAGCGGACGGTTCCCCCCCCCCCCGCCCCCCACAAGCGCGTATCAGGTCATAGAAGTAGTGTTGGCCACAGACAACCAGTCTCGTAACACCCCCATCGTTGTGTGACCATCGCTTCCAATCAAACGACAGTAAAAGACTCGTTTAGGGCTAGTATACTGCCGTCTCCGTAAATGACTGAGGAGAAACGGTTGGGTACTCCGAGGTTAGGTAGCAACAAAGAATGAAGACGATACTTGATGATATTCGTGAAACATCAGGTGATATATCAAAGTGAAACTGACTGGTGGAAAGATATTTCTGGCAGCAAGATAAGCAAAAAATTGGTTCGTCTTGTTGGCAGGTAGATGTATGCGGTCGGGATTATCGGAAGCGACTGAGACAGGATAAGTAACACTACTTGAGTAAAGAATCCGGATCAACTGACAGACCTGTCACGCTTCTCACAAAGTGGGACATGAGTTAGATGTTATCAGGAAAATGATGTACCCTTCAAGAGAACAACAGAGAAGTCAACGATAATTCAGTCCGTTGAAAGATTTGTTAACACGAAGAGAACAGCTGTATATGAACTCGAGGTAATAGGCCAATACTGAGTCGGATCACAAATAATGTAATTCGCCATCTCAATTAGCCAATGCGTAACGAACCAGAAAACAAACATACAAAGTGCTGTTGTGATTGGTAATTAGCACTACCAATGAAGTTTGAGAAAATGATTAGCGAATGATAGCGTTCGCTCGGAATAGGCCGGACTTGCGTAAGAGAGTTGACAGCTGGTGACAGAAATACCAACTGGACACCAAAGAAAGCTGAGCATGCCAAATGTGTTAAAACCCGAGTAAAGTCATGTACAATTCAGTGCGTACAAACGATAGAGCTGGGAGATTAGAGGGAAACCCGTAGCACAACGAAGTCGACAAAACATACCTCTGTTGCAAAGTAATGTGCGCTCGCAGGTTCAAACTTCATGGCGATGCCAAGAGTCGAGAATATGATTCGCACTAGGCTAAAAATTTGTTCATATGTCAAACTGGCGAGAAACTGACTCCTGGTGGTGAACTGCTGGCCGTTGTGTTGATCAGGCGCCGAATGATCGAATGAAGTGACCGAGGCGGTTCCGGATTCAAATTGGCCGCCCTTTGTCCCAGCCGGAGCAAAAGTCAGGCAATCCTCCAGGTAAACCATTTCTTGCATCACATAAACGAAACCGTTCACTTTGCGGAATACCACACGACATCGATGGGACTCGCGAAGAACACGACAAAATGAACGAAGAATCTGTGGGATAACACACCAATGGGGGAACAAGGATCGGGAAGAGATTAGAAACCTTCTGTAGGTATGAAAAAAGGTTGCAAAACCCCGTATCCCTGAATGTATTCACTAGGGTCTCAATGAGAGTGATCAGCAACCTAGAAAAGGTAGATGGTAGATCAATACGGTGGCGTCAAAAGAGAGCGGAATCAAGGTGAAACTGAGATTGCATGACCGAAGCATTAGCGTCATCTGACGGACCATCACATGTAGAAGAGAGTATGAGCCAAAACGCTCGAGAGCACATTCGACTGACACCCTCCCTTGATTCTACTGCGATTGGGACGTATCGCGTGCAAGCCGCCTAGCGAGCGAAAGCAATCTGCACTGTGCTGTTATCCAACACAGTCCCGAAGGAACGCGCGATTGCAGAAGTGGTCAGGATTCATCATCTATTTGTCACCGGCTTCACAAGTATTCGCTAAGTGAAGGTCACAGTGAATCTGTCGACTGCTATGACCGCGGACGGTGGCCAAAACAACTGAGTGAGCAAGACAGCGCAGCGCACAGCACCGAATGAAAAAATACCTGAAGCCACGTTGCTCGGAGTGAAGATTGGATCCAAGTGGTTGTACAATCGAAAATGAGAGTACCCCAGGACCGTCGTAACGCCTCAGGAGCTGGAACGTGACCCACCGGTTATGTAGTGGGACGACTCTTTTGGAGAGAAAGGAAGTGCACAAAGTTGCGCGAGTGTTTTACGTAAAAATTGAAATGACCAGACAACTGGAACAAAAATTTGGAAGCTTTGCAAAACCAAACGATGTGTGTGATGACCGATCCCACCAGAAGCCAAGGTGTATGAGTGATATTCATGTAACCAATAAATTAGAAAATGAATGCGACGAAGCATAAGATCTAGGCAAATACATACATCCGAGTCAATCAATTTTTGTGAAAATGGAGATGCGACGTCATCGAAGTATCGTGCAAAAGGGAGAGGAGACTACGCAGATGAAGGGCTTACAAACAGTCGCATCTCCATGAAGTAGTGATGTGCAGGGAACATGGGGCGAAGGATGAACGGAACTGGTGACACCGCGATTGGAGTACCCTATAGCAGCTGAGGTGAAAGTCATATGGCGGAGAGCTTAGTATAGTTCAGCTGCACGATCGCGACACGGACAACGCAGTCAGATAAATCCGGCTGCCAAGAGTTATGTCCCCAAGATGACGACCTTTGGCGGTGGCGAAGAAAAGATGAAAGAAAGAAGGGGGTTGAGAAGTAAGAGAGCGGAATTAGTCCAGCTCATCACCATACACGTTAGCTAGAGGTGGGGAACACCTCAGCTACTGTGCCGCAATACATAGGAGAAAAAAAAATGCAACTGGTGCAAGCCGGTTGAGCTACTGGTAAGGGATGGGCATCGTTCCGGTAAGCTACCAGCCGGATACTGTGCACCCAAAAAAATTACTATGCAAAAATTATATAGGGCTAAATAATGAGATCGTGGTTGGAGGGGGAGGCTAAGAGGGATGGGGTGGAACAAAAAAACTCACAGCACGAACACCACTGAGGTCGGCTCCTAGCCATATCAGCAAGTGTGTCCAACCAAACGTGTTCATCGTCTTCCGGACCCCAACCAGGGAGCCGAGACACTCCAACCGAGGCCAGCTCAGAAGTGAGGACCTTCATTCCTCTCGACCAAGTCATCGCTTGGCCACCACTCCTCTTCTTCCATCCACACCCCCGACGCGCAAACAACGCACGTCGCGAGAGTCAGTGGGCTGGCACGCGTAACACGTGGCCCAGCCATCGGAGCCTGGTGCGTGAAATGACGGTGCTGAGCGGTTCAGTTCCTTCTTTTGTGCCGTAAACAAGGCGTCGAATACGCTCGTTACTCACGCGGTGTTCCCATCAGATGTGAGCCAAACTGCGAAGGCACAGATGGTCGAACGTAACTAGCCTCTTTATGTCCGCTGCTTTAAGGGGCCAGGTTTCACAACCGTACAGTAGGGTCGAACGTACAGCTGCATTGTACACTCTATCCTTCAGGGCAAGCGGGATGTCGCGCCGGCGCCATAAGTGGCGAAGGTTAGCAAAAGCGCCCCGAGCTTTTGATGTACGGTTCGTGATCTCGTCTTCGATCCCAAGGGCGCTGATAATTAGTCCAGCTAGAATCTTGATAGCCAGGCACACGAAACCGTAGGTAAGAGATCCACTGATTACGCAAATGCGCAAAGTTCAGTAGGGTCTCCAACCAGTGATGTGGCCCATACCGAGACTCATTCATGAACATGGCACATACCACACCAGTCAAGCGTCTAGGTCAACTTCATTCCTTCACGCCACAATATCGAATGGCCGCCTTGCAACTTAGCTCCATGGCGTATAATGTACGTCAAGGGGAATAAGGGAAACACGACGTAGCCAACGCAGGCAACAGACAGTCTCTTCAAATACCAGCCGGTAAATCTCGGCATTGCGAAATCGGTGTTTCCATCAGGTGGGATCAATACTCCATAAGCACCGGAGGCTTCAAAAAGTCAATCTTTTCATAGCTTCACTGTGAAGTGATCACGTCTCTGACTCATGGGAACACCGAGCTTATCGCAGCGTTATACACCCAACATATGACTAAGAGGATAAGTGGCAGCTGCCCTCACAGGTGAACGCAAATTTGGAAAGTTACGAAGAGCATACCATTTAACGTGGTAACCATCTAAGCGACGAGATGATTCGTGACAACCACCAGGGTAAGTGAGCAGATGGACCAATTTCAATGACTGTTCGGAGATACCTAAAACCACTGACGTATCGGTCCAATCCTGTAATAGTACAATGCAATTTGAAGGTGCACAGCACATCCCAAAGTGTGTGATCCTACGCGTCAGCCTACTCATCAAACTGTGTCAAGTCACTGCGCCAAATACAAAGAGGGCTATATCGTCCGCATCCTCAGGGTTTATCGATCCGTCACCTAGTAAAACACTCACTCTGAAGTTGTTAGGAGAACAGCCTCCCATTATCATTTCAATCACGAAATGGAAGAGGAAAGGAGAACCCCATTCGTTGTGAAACGCTCAAGAGATAGCTTTCTTTAGACCTTTACTAGGACTTGGGAGTATTGCAAACACTTTTCACGGACAGACAGTGCGACAAGCGAACACAATCAACAGAGTCGAAGGCGGATTTCAGGTCAAGGAAAGACAACACAGACAGTCGTCTCAAGTGTGTTTCTGCTCTAACAGTTGACGAAGAGTGGGTAGGTGGTCGATGCCACAGAAACCAGTTTGATGTTCAATGATTAGGCTCTCAAGAGTGTCAGTGAGTCATCGCAGAATGACACTCGTCAGAGGTAGGGGAGTCAGGGTCGATTACGTCTGTAGATGAGGACAGGAAGATGAAATGCTCAGTAATGAAGAAATGGCTACTAAGCCCAGTGAAGCATACAAGAGTGCACTGGGGACTGAATAAATTGATACAGGGCTAGAGACCAGAATATTTGGCGTGCAGCTCGAATAATCTCTGGGGATCACGGCGTCACTCACGGCAGCGGGATGTGCCCAACCTTGGATAAAAGCTGCCACGTCTGCAAGCTACCCGCAGTATATTAAGTCGGTGTCGTAGAAAGTCAGTGATAGTCCGGGTAAAAGAGGGTGATCCCATTGCATTTTCTGGAACAAGATGGATCGGGTACAAGCTCAGTGACCACATTCTTGAACACAGTGTGGGTAGCTTCAACACGAGATCGAGTGAGCGAATCCCGTAGCCGAAGCGCAAAAGCAGAATAATGCACAAGGAGGTAGGCATGAAATAAGTTGGGCATCACGAGTATGACTTTAATCGTCCACCTATGAGCGGCCAGAAAGGTAATATAGTGCGCCAGGCGTCCAGATGAGCTTCAGAGAGCACAAAGGAACGGGGGCATGTAAGTTGAACCCGCACTGCAACCCAAAGTATTCGAAGTACAGTAGGCTCATAATATCCGCTGCACCAACGTCTTACTATCCCACAACATGGTGTGCATCCAGTCACATAGTAAACGCCATAACCCACAGTACCTGCATTCAGTGACAGAGACCAACCTGGTTGTCAACAGCTATAAAACTCTCCAGCAGGTACAGTATAAAATACACAAAAAAGGTTACAAACTAAGTAGCGGACGAACGACTATCACATACACACACACTGCTGCATCACCCATGAATGAAAGAGGTGGCGGGAATGTCAATAGAATGATGACAAAACCCGGATACTGGGGGAGTCACGTGCAGACGGCGTTAACGCCTAACCTGTGTGATCCACCCTGGTGTGATGTGCATAGGATGGCGGTCGAAGTATATAATGGAAAAAGCATTGAGCTTAGTTAAGAAAGATACAGGACTCCATATCAGCAGAAGCGGGCGCGCGAAACCATTGATCGTACTGGTTGAGTACATATAAAGAGGAAACCAAGTTCTGTAACTCCCCTTGCTGCTCTGTGTGAGTATGTGGGTTAGTCTTGAGTGAACGCAATCGCATGTCCGTGTCTCTCAAACGTCGCTCACGTAATTACCCCAATAATAGTGTGAATGAGTATCACACAAGAAGTTGGGTTTTGCGAAAGCGTTGACGAAATTTCCGATTGTATGGTCATTTACAAGTCCCGAGATTGCGCGTCGCAATCCACTGGCTAGAAAAGTGTCTCAAAATCACTCATCTAATCAATCGGCTACCGTTGTGACAAGCGTGGCCAAACGTAACTGTAACTTAGGATTAGAGCTTTCGACTGACATCCCAAATGTTCTCCGTCGGTTGCAAGACTACTCTCGATATAGGCAGGATCCAGTCTCGGGAAGTTCTCTTCACTCGGGGAACTGTCATGCATATGCACATGTTCAGCGACCACCTACCAGGATTCTTAAGAAGCCAGGAAGGGTACAAACGGCAATGACCGATTGGATCTTCAGTTCTATTAGCAGAAAAATGTGGGTATGAATAAATACAGTAGTTACATCTTAAACTGCATAGAACATCACGC